TGGTGCCCGGGGCGGCGGGGGCGCAGCTTAGGAGGGAGAAGGGGACCCAGGAGGGGCTGCAGCGGGCCTGGACCTGCTGCCCTGCCTGTCCCCTGGCTTCCTCCTCCGAGTGATTGGGAGGCAGTGTTTGCAAAGTGGTTTGAAGGCCACATAAAAAGCACTGAAAGTGAGTTATTTCTTTACCTGCCAAGGTCCGTTTCTCGCCCCCCTCGCCCCCAGGCCTGTTCCAAGGCTGGGGGGAAAGCTGCAGCCAGGCCAGAAGAGTCTGCCTGGAGGCAGACCTCACACCCCTGGGCTCCGGTGGCTCCTCTGTGGGCTGGGAAGGCTTGGCCCGTGGCCTGTCACTCCACCCACAGCCAAACCTCAGCCCTTTCATCACGGAAAGCAAAGGGCTTTCAAGACACCACAGGCCGGGGCAGCCACCCTGTCCACCCCTCTCTCCGTAGTTGGGAGACTCGGTCCCACATTTGTTTATCTACCCAACAGGTGGTATTGAGCACCTGCTGTCTACCTGTAAGCAAGTGGCCTCTGCCCTGGTGGGGAAGAGTCGGTAGAGTCGGTAGCCAGGCGGGAAGGGTCTGGGGAGGCTGGCTGAGGGCCCCGTTTCCTCCCCCGCCCCCAGGCGTCCCTGCAGACAGTGATCCCCAGGTGTCTACTCTGTGGCCGTGACCTCCCGTGGCACAGGCCACCCCCCCTAGCGCTTCTCTGCCCTCTCCACACCGTAGCAAAGCGCAGCCTCTCGGTGGACGCTGCTCCTGCACTGATACTAAACAGGAGTCATTCTAAGCTCCTCGGTGGCTTTTTCCTTCATCAGTGATAGTGGGAAACCCACTCAGGTACGGGATCTCTGCATTTGTCTGTAATTGTCTGTGTAGACACCCCCCAAATCCCGGGTAGGTTTCTCATTTTTAATTCCGCAGGGTTTCTCAGCAGGGGCCCTGTCCGCCTCTGGGCAGAACTGGCTCATGATGTGAGCCGCTGTCCTGGCTCCCAGCCACTCGGTGCCAGTGACCCTTCCAGATGTCGTGACCCCCGCACATGCCCACGTGTGTCCGCAGCACCGGCGGCGAGCCCCTGTGAATAGGACCACGGAACCCGATCTTCCCCACAGCCTGAGTCTGAGTGTTCTCTGGAGTTCAGTGACGATCTCTCACAACTCCCATTTTAGGGCGCCTGGTGGCTCAGTCATTAAGCGACTGCCTTCGGCTCAGGTCATGATCCTGGAGTCCCGGGATCGAGTCCCACATCGGGCTCCCCGCTCAGTGGGAAGCCTGCTTCTCCCTCTGACCCTCTTCCCTCTCGCGCTCTCATTCTCTCTCTCTCTCTCAAATAAATAAATAAAATCTTAAAAAATAAAAACAAAAAAAACCTCCCATCTTAGAAATTTTCAAATGTTCACAAAGAACCTTGCTGTTATTTTTGGTGGGCAGCAAAGCAAAGTTTATGGAGCAATAGTACAAAGCTCCCAAAGAGGGAGGGGACCCAAGAGGGTTGCCCGAAACTTGCTATTATTTTTAAAGAGCGTGGAGTCTGTCTGAACCCTCCCCCGAGCACCGTGGCAGTGGCCGCCCTGGGAGACTCTCCAGGCCAGGCCTGCGTTCTCTGGCTGTGCTGCGGGCAGGATGGTGTGGCACTTACACTCGGCTCTGAGGAGCACAGTCCCACATAAGGGAGCTGGAGAAGCGGCGGAGGGGGAAGTGTTCCCGCATGGCAGGCCTCCCTGCTTCTCTGGGCACAGCCCTTTTCCTCAGGATCCAGCCAGACTCCAAGCCACAGGAGGGAGAAGGAACAGCAATCAAAGGGCATATGGTGCTGCCTTAAGGAAGGTTCCAGAAAGCTGGCAAAGTCTCTGGCTACACTGCAGGGGCTGCCCAGTAGGGGGAACCCAAAGGTGCGGGCAGGCAGTGCTCACCTCCACGACGGGAGCCCTGGGCTGGGTGGATGCGCCCTTGCCCCGCCCCCGCCCCTGCAGACTTTTGAGTCTGGATCAGTGACAGCAGCATAGGGTGGGGAGGGGAGTCTGGGGGCGGGGGTCGGGGGGCGCGGAGCGCAGGGTCTGGGGTGAGAGCCTGAGGGGCTGTGGTGGATCCTACATCCTGCTTCTTGGCAGGATCTGGGCGAGTGTGTGCCCCCTTGAGAATACCCCACACCATCGTTGGCCCCATGGAGCTGGCCGGCCCCGAGGTAGGCACACCTGCCACCACGTTTGCGTCCCATGCCCGTGGAGACCCTGGGCCTGTTTCTCGTTTCTCTTTCCAGCAGCTTGCCTCCCTCGGTCCGCCTGGAATTGGGCGCTGCTTCCCTGCCTGGCAGGAACGGGCTTCCCTGGGCACGTTCTAAGAGAATCAGATCTTGCAGCCCCAGAAATCTTGACGGGACCAAGGGCCTTGACCAAAAGCCTCAGAAACAGCAAAGATGACGGAGCCCCTCACACCCCCGCAGCCTTGTCACCTCCTCTGGGCAGGTGCTTCACTGTTTGCAGTGGCCTCCACCCCAGGCCCCCCATGGAATAGGGGTCTGTGTCCACCCCGTGGCAGTGGCCCTGGGACCCGCTGCAGAGGTGCACCAGGAGATGGGAGCATTGTGGGGCGATTCTCTAGGGATCATGAGGCCGCTGGGTAAGCACGTTACCCCTGCTTCCCTTCCTAGTAGGGCTAGGCCTCCAGTCCTCCCTTTTTGGGGTTGGACAGTGATTTCTGGTATCACTGTTGCTAAGCATCTGTTTGCAACTTGTGGAAGTTGCCCCGCAGATCAGCCAGACTGGGTTTGACCATGACCCCTTCCCCATCTGGGCCTCAGCGTCTCACCACCCCCTGCAGGCTGGACTAAGATGGCATCAGTGGGCAAAGACCCCGATCTGGTTGGGATCAGAGGATCCCGGTGCCACCCTGGTCAAGCCCCTTCCTTCTCTGGGCCTCGGGTTCCCACTTGTAGGCTGGGCTGTCTTGAGCAGACGAGTGAAATGCCGGCTCCAGATGCAGCCGCATCCACCTCGTGTGGGGGCGCAGAAGCTGTGGCACGCTCCTCACGGCCCCAGGGTTGGCATGAACTGACGAGACAGCAAGTCAGACACTGGCCCAAGCCACCCCAGGGCCTTTGTATGTGCTGCTCCCCCTCGCTGGGTGACGCCTTCGTTTTCTCCACAGCCGGCGTGTTCCAGGTCTCATCCACCCCCCAGCCCCATTTTCTCAGCCCTTTATTGCCCTTAGAACACAGCCCCCAATCCTTAGCGTCTTTGTGTGCTTGTTAAAGAGTATGTGTGATTTGAGGGACCATGTCTTCACCCCAACCCCAGAACCCGTGCCCAAGCCTAGCGCAGTAGGGGTTCCGCTGACACCCATGGGTGGGAAGAATGTTGCAAACCCTAGAACACCTGGGGAGGGGGTCCCCAAATTCCTGCAGGGAGGAGCCACTGCATCGGCTGCACCTGGGGGCTCCACAAACAGCCATTTGCACTCCCTCCTCTCTCTGAAGAAGCCCAAGCTCCCCAGGAAGCTACAGGCAGCCCTGGCCACATGGAACACCTCAGGTGGGTACATGGCTGGGTGGGCAGTTTTGTCCCAAGAGCTTAGGAGCAAGCTGGTGCTAGGTGAACAGGGAGAACTCCCTAAAGAGGTGCCTCGGGGTTTGGCCTCGCCACATCCCTAGTTAACGGATTCTCCAGTGGGGCCCCGGGGCCCCGGGGCCCCGGGGTCAATGCAGCCACATAGGGAAAGCCCTGGGTCACTTCCGGGTCTATAAACTTGGTGGGTATCTGTCCAGGGGTGGAGTGTCCTTTGGGTGGAGCAGGATGTCAGGATGGAACATTCCCAGCAAGGACCTGGGAACCGGCAGACTCTGGGCTTGCCTGTGAGGTTTTGGGAGGGGCTGGCACAGCCCCAAGGGACCATTTACAGGAAAGGAGGCGGGAAGCCAGGCTGTGAAGGGCCAGACCCTCGAGAGCTGTGACACAGAAAGCCCAGTGGTGGCTGGGAGGGTCCCTTCAGTCATGAGGGTCGGAGGGGGCAGCTGGGAGTGGGTAAAGAAGGCTCTCCAAATCCAGGACCTGAAGGGGACAGAAGAGGAGGCTGCAGAAGATGGGGGGCTCACCCCAGCCCAGGGTTGGCATTTGAGATAGGGGGGACTGTGGAGCGGGGGGGGGGGGGCGGGAGGGGGGGGGGGAGTCAGAGCGCAAGTTCTGGAGAGAGCACCTAACACAGTCTAGAAACAGCACTAGGCCCAGGTCTGCGGCAGGCTGAGCCCACATGGTGGGTGCCCCTCGTCCAGCCCCTTCTCCCCAGCACACCTATGTGAGTAGCCCCACAGGCTGCACTGCTCCGGCAGGGAGCGCTGGATGAGCCAATGTGGGGAGGGCAGGCAGCCCAATTTTAAGAGGCTGACAGCCCAAAGGAAATAATCCCTAATGGTAGATTTCAGGCACCGGGCATGACAAGAGCAGGAGTAAACCTGATTGTGTTGGGCCAAACTTCATGACAGCAGGTGCAGGAAAGAGCCTGCAGGTGTGTGGTCACGCACAGGTGGCTAGGCCCACACCCCGCCCTTACTCTCTCCTCCCCCGATTCTCCCACCAGGGGCAAGATGGAGCCCACACGGCAAACCCCCAGAGAGGACCAGAGACCAGCTGGAAACCAACATTTTATTGAGCTCTCCTCACCCCTCAGAATCTCTTCCAGCAGATTCTCTTTGTCCCGGGCATCACAGACATGGGGGTGTGGCCAGCACTCCCCCCCCCACCCCGCAGGACCCCCCCACCTTCCGGCGACAGGCCCCGGCACGGTGGGTTGGGGCCAGGAGAGCAGGCCCACGGGCAGTTAACCAGTAACGACCCCAGAGGTATAATGAATTCATTTCTCTTACAAAAAGGAAAAGAAAAAAACTAGTATGAAACCTCAGTAGTGTCCCAGCACTCAGAGTTTAAATATAAAAAAGGGATCATCAGAAAACAGTTAAAAAGACAACAAAACCAACAAGGCCACCTCCAGGGTGGCAGTCGGGGGGGGGGGAGGGGCCAGCCCCCACCCCCACCCCCACAGCGGCTGCGTCACTGGAGCTGGGGCCCCCAGCCTAGCAGCAGCACCAGCAGCAGCAGCAGGGACAGCACCAGCCCGCGCCCTGGGTTGGGGGGCACCTGTGGGACAAAGGGGGGGGACAGGTGAGGCCCTCCAGCCAGGCGTGCGTGCTCCATCTGCAGAGCCTCCTATGCCTCTGTGGACACAGGGAAGAGCCTGCGCGGCCGAGAGCTGGGGTGGTGAACATGGCAGGGAAGGTGGGGGACACGGGAGCACCTGCACACGGGACCGGTCTGGGACAAAAACCAGGAAGACGGGCACAGGCGCGGTGGGGAAAGAGCTCAGGACACGACCGACAGGAGAAGCTGCCAGTCGGCTGGGGACGGGGGCGCGCGAGGGACCCTCCCCGGGGCCGATGGGAGGGAGGAAGGAGGAGGGGTCGGGAGGGGCACCTGCTGGGCAGAGGAGGGCGGAGCAGGCGGAGGGAAGAGCATGAGCACGGGTGTGCACGCAGGCAAACGCGCGCAAGATTTCAAGCTCGGAGTCCATAAACCAGGGGCCTCCAAGCCGAAGAGGGGAAGCAGAGACAAGACAATAGGGAGCGGAGGGGTCGGCGGCACCCCCAGGCTACGCCCTATGGAGGGGCTGCTCCACAGCTGCAGTTATCATGTGCAGGAGGGTAAGGCAAGGTCACCACATCTCAAGGTTTATTTACCCTGTTCCGGAAGGTCAGGAAGCTCCAGATCCGCATGCTCTCCCTGAGGTTGCCGAGACCATCCGTGAAACTTCTAAGAACACCTCTCAGGCCTGTCTGGTTGTAGGTAAAAGCCAAGCTGTAAGACAGGAGAGGGGAAGCAGGGCCATTACCGCACGAACAGGGGCACGATGGCCTTTACTTTAGGGGACCCCTGTGCGGAGAAGAGGGCCGTGCCCCCTCCTACCCAGTGCCGCTCTAGCCCCCTTCTCTGGTGGCTCCGTCAATGAGTGTCTCTCTCCATGGGCCACTTCTGGTCCCAAATTCATCTGATTTCCCGTTTCCTCCCCCCGCCCACCCACTGGGGGTTTGGTCTTGGGTTCTGGAGCTGGCCGCGTGGAAAAAAGCCTCCACCACCCACAGGCCCATGGAGGCAGGTCCTCCCTCCAGAGGAGCTTTGCTCTGAGAGAGGCCCGGGCACCCCAACAGAAGGCTGCCTCTCTGGGGGACCTGTGGTCTCGAGGGTAAGGGTTTTACATCCCCCACCGTGAGAAATTCTGGGAGCATCTGAGAACCCACAGAGATGTGCCAGCAAATCATGAAAGTAGTGTGCTCAGGACAGAGGCCTCCAAGCAGGACACACAGCAGGACACACAGCTCCGCTGAGCTCACCATTTCCTGTCAGCCTTTTAAGTCAAGACCCTCTTGGGAAAGTTCGCTCTTGGCTTGATGAAGCAGCAGAGAAGGGCACCTGGGTTCTGCTTTCTTGCCCAGGCGCAGGGGCTGGGGGCTCCTAGTGGGGGGATGCACGGCTGCCTGGGAGGGGGGCTGTCTCCTCCCAGGGCCTGGGGGGCCGCCCACCTGTACATGGCCATCCCGGGCATCTCGCCAACGCGGGGGAGCATCCATCTCACTTCCATCTCGTCCCCGATGAAGGCCAGCCGCATGGCCACCTCGTCGGAGCTGGTGCTGCGGGGAGGGCACGGGCCGTTAGGGGTGTGGCTGTGCGGTGACCCCCACATACCCAGGCCAACCTGGCCAACCGGGCCCCAGTTTCTGGGAGGCAAGCGGTGACACAGAGCAAGGTGGGAACCTTCACACACCCGTCCTCTGGCTCCCACTTTGGTTCAGAAGAGACCAGCGAGGTCCCATCCCCGGGCGGATTCCCTGAAGCGCGGGCCCCTCCTGTGGGAGGGCAGAGACATTTAGGGCTCGTGGGATCAGCAGGCTGGCCTCCCCCCTGTTACAGCCTTGCCCTCCCCTCCAAGGAAAACTGAAGGCTGGAGGATCCTGGGAGAGGCCACCCACCGGGGGGTTTGCCGGGAAAGGTGGGCAGTGGGGGCTGGGCAGGTCGGGGCTCCTGAACCCCCCCCAGGATCTGGGACTGGCTTCCCACAGGGTCTCGATTTACCCTCCTCCTTGTGCGGTTAGATTCTAGGACCTGTTCCCTGCTCCCCAATCCTGAACCCACCTGCTGTCATCACCCCTTTCAGAAAGGAGGGGCTGGCCAGCGCCCGCCATTCACTGACCCAAGTCCTGGACAGAAGGAGGTCAGAGCACTCGCTCCTGAGCTCCAGGTCCAACACAACACCCACCACTCCCTCCGGGCTGGCTTCAGCCCTGCTCCCAGGGGTGTGCCCACATTCCATCCGGGAATTTCCAGGCAGACAGGCCTCGCAGTGGCTCCCAGCTCAGCCCCAGCCACCTGCCCAGTCTCCCCGGGGTCCATGCTCTCTAGCTGAGGGGTGCCGGAAGCTCGAATGGGAGGCTGGGGAGGTCTGGCTGGCAATCCAGGTGGGGGGGCTGAGGTCCCACCTCACCCCCTGGGACCTCAGGAAGACACTGCCCCAGGCTGAACGTCCCCTACTGTCCTCTCCCAAGTGGAGCAGGGACAGGGCAAGAGGCAGATTTTTCAGGTCCCTCCAGCTCTAAAATCCCAGCCAGCCCCCATGCCCAGGGCTAATGACCCAAAGACTACGAGAATCCTGAGGCCTGAAGCAGAAGGGAAGCACCTGGAACCCTGGGGCCGGTCCCGGGAAGATCCCCTCTCCACTGCCCGGGAGCCCGGGCCAGGCGTTCCGTGCGAAGGGGCTTCCTCGGGCTACTTCTCATCTCCTAAATTAGAACCATCTCACCAAGAGGCCTTGACGAGGTGATCATGGTCAGTGAGGGCCAGGAGATACCCGGTCCTAAAGCCACAGGGTTAAGTCCATCCTGGGAATGTGCTGGACGCCCAGGGCCTCTGTGGGCTGACATCAGAGCGAGGCGGCCGCGCCTGGGGCACAAGCCTCCAGGACCACACCTGGGGACTTTCCGCCCTGGAGGCCTGCCTGCGGGGCCCAGAAGTCCTGCTCTTCTAACCGGACCCTGGGGGTCAACGGCCAGAACTGGGAGCGGGTGGGGCCCGCAGAGTGTTCCCGGGACCTACCTGTTAGGGGAGGGCCCCGGATCATAGTACTCCATGAGATCAGTCATGCCCGGAACCTCCAGCACTTCCGGGCCACGCTCCCGCAGGAAGGTGCTCCAAGAGAGGTTCCTGGAGAGGGGTCCTGTGTGGGACATTTCTTCTCTGGGGGAGAAAGACACAGACTGACTGAACCCTTGTGCGTCGAAGCCAACTGCGGCTCTCCTGCTCCTCAGTTGCCCAGCATGCCTTGCAGCTGGTGGTGGGCATGCAACCCGGTTCCGGGCAATGAGGTCTCCAAGGTCCGACAAGGGGAGGCTGAAAGGGAGCAGCCTCAGCCAGGGCAGCTCCTCTCCCCGCCCCTTGCTGCCTTCAACACAGGAGGGAAGGCGGGAGCTGCAGCAGCCACTTTATGACACCAAGGTGCTCAACACAGGGATAACCAACACGCCGGGAATGCCGAGAGAGGGACAGAGCCTGGCTCTCTGATGGCGTTCTCGAACGCTTGCAAAAATACAAGCCACAGCCACCCCAATAGTGTAAGAAAAATAAAACCCAACTCGTTCAAGTCACAAGTCACTGAGTTTCCAGTCCCTTGCAGCCAAAGGCCCCCCTGTGACAACTGTGGATTCCAGCATCGGAAGTGTTTATTTACATCCTCCCCTGAGGCAGCTGGGTAGGAATCTGTGACCCCGTTTCACCACACTTTACCCCACCCCATACTGAACAGCCTTAGGGCCAGAGTAATGGTGAAGAACATGGAACCAAGGGACCCGAGCTCAAATCCCAGCTGTCACCTTGTAGCTGTGTGATGCTGAGGGACCTCGGCACTTCAAGCCACTGTCTCACAAGAATGTCCCCGGTTCTTAAAAATTCTGTAACTCTTCACATTAGCCTGCTCTGAGTGGATAGAACCCTCTCATTATCTTGGACCCCTAACCTTCAAGGTAGGTATTCATTAAAACAGACACTTGGAAAAGTTCACGATTAAGCCAAGAAGGGACAGAGCTGAGTGAGTCTCGCTGCTGCCCCTGGCCGGGGTGGACAGCGTTCGTCCCTGAGGTGGATCAACAGTCGGCAGGACATGCACGGGCGCCCGCCGGTGACACAGGGTCTAGGCAAGGGTGCGCACACGACTTGCTCTCAGCATTAAAGGGTGGTGACTGGAGACACAAAGCCAGGGCACAGAGGTAAGTGTGCATCCTCCACGTGTCTCGGGACGAGTCTAGACAAGTTATTCTCAACAGTGAATTCAAAACATGGTCGAAGAGATGGACACGCTGCGATATCATCAAGGGCAGACAGGTATTTGAGGGTCTGGGGCCTTTGAGAAAGGATACCACAGAAGAACAGCATTGTTCTAGAGAGAGTATGTGCCCAGAATCTGTCTCAAGAGGGCTGCTTCAGTTTCCTAAGGGAAAGCCAGTAGAGGCTCAGGTCTGTTCCAGATGAAAGCCCAGCTTGAAAGCCAGCTCTAGCAGGAGTGAGGGCTGGAGAGATCCGACATGTAAACAGAGCCACAACAGCCACAAAGGGCCCATGGCCTGACATATGCCACCCACACCTGTCAGGACAGCACCTTCCCCTGCGGGGTCCTGGTGGTGGAGGGAGGGTGCTACCACCTGCTGAGGGCACCTGCAGGCCCTGTTAAAAAGCATGCAGGCCTGAGGACCCCCCCCAAAAAAAAAAACCAGCCAGCCAGCACGAACCTGAACCCAACAGGGGGGGATCACGTGGCATTTCTAAAAACCTTAAAATACTGCTAGCAACTTAATAGCACTGCAGGTACAGTTCTGAGCGCATGATCCTTCTACATCCGTCCAGGGAACGCCAGGCAGCAGTTAAAAGCTATGAGGCGTGGGGGCACCTGGCTGGCTCAGTCGGTAGAACATGCGGCTCTTGATCGCGGAGTCGTTGAGTTCGACCCCCGAGTTGGGCACAGAGCTTACATTAAAAAAAGAAAATCTATGCGCTGAATCTAGATCCCTCTACAATGTAAAGTTCTTCAACAATCCTTTTGAAAAAAGCTAGATCACAAACCAGTATGGTTGGAAGCCCCTGCTGTAGTCGGGGGCGGGGAGGGGGGAGGGGGCTTGCAGACCCCAGTCCCGGGGGGATCCACCTCCAGCCACACCCTGGCACTGACACCCTATTCAATCAGCAAATAAATCAATCTAAAAAAGAAAAAGAAAGAAAGAGACAGAAAGGAGAACACTGGGAGGCGGGGGACAGCGGCACCAGCACAAAAGGCAATGAAGCTGACTTTCGACACAGCCTCAGCGAGTTAGAGGAAGCTGCTCCAAGAATAAAAGACATTCAAGCCGCTAAAGAAAATGTGATCATTTCAGTAAGACAGGAGAGATTTCTAGCGGACATGAAATAAGGCTTTATGTAGAAAACAAAGAATCACCTTTTGTTTTGTATTTTTTTTTTCAGAAGATTTTATCTATCTGACAGAGAGAGAGCACAAGCGGGGGGGGGGGGAGTGGGAGAGGGAGAGGCAGGCCCCCCCACGGGGCTCCCTCACAGGACCCTGAGATCACGACCGGAGCTTAACTGACGGAGCCACCCAGGGGCCCCGAGAATCATCTTTTAGAACCACCAAGACTTTGAAGGTTGCCAGATACCAGATCAACATTTAAAAAATCAATACCCACAAGGCAACTAGAAAATACAGAGCAGATAGACACGTATTTACAGACACAGAAGGCTTTTAGTCAGGAACGAAATCTGATTTTAAAAAAATGCTTTAAAACTTATGGAAAAAAACATAAAAACTCCACTGAAAGGCACAAAGGACCCGGACAGCCGGAACCAACTTTCATGGAGGAGGTTATTTTACCACTGCATAGGTCGTGAGCACTGTGGGTCCGTGTGCCCTTGAGCTCACAGGAGGGTACTGGAGCCTCCTGCGGCTGCCCCCAGGCCCCAGGGGTCTTGGTGTCTACGCAAATGGCAATTTCCCAGGAAAAGTAGTCCCAGCCCTCCTTTGCATGGGCCCCCGGGCCCCCCTCTTCCCCGCCACACCACACCCCAGCAAGGGGCTGTTCTCTTCCCAGAGGCTGCTGTGTGCTCCCACGGAAACCCCTGCCTCACGGAAGCCGAGGGGCCACAGTGGGACTTCCTTGGGCACGTGGCCTCTGAGCCTCCCCTTGACTCCCTGTCCCAAATTCCTCGGCCTCCAGCAGACATTCTCAGACTCCCCCGGCAACAAGTGGAAATGGGGCCCCGAGGCCTGTGTTCGATGAGCTCTGGGGTTGGGTGAGCAGACACGTGGGGGGATCCTGGGTTAACCTCCTGACCCAACTACTCACTTGAGCTGTGGTGCGATCTGGGGCAAGGCCTCCAGTTTCCTTGTCTGTTAAATGGGGATAATAATCCCAAACTAATGGGGTTCATTTTCCAGGCAAGCACCAGCATCAACTGCCTGTTCTAACCCCGGCTGATGGTTGAGCACCCACTCTCCTCAGGGCCTGATCCAAGCCCTGGGTAAGGATTCTCACGAAAGGCTCACCAGACGGCCCTGGGCTGGCCTTGGGGCTTGAGATCTGAGTGGGAGAAATCAGTGTGGCCAGTGCCGGTCACTTCCGGCCCAGCTCTACGGTAGCTGCGCAGCTGGCCGCCAGTCCCCACTGGACTCTCTCCGGATCTGACCCGGTCATCGCTCCCCTCGGGGCCCGTGCCATGCCGCTACCAGGGCCCTCTTCCCCCCCCCGGCCACCTCCCCAGCCCCAACCCTGCCAGCCCCCAGCTCAGCGCCTGCTCCCTCCACACTGGACACTGGGCCTCTGCGAGCACTGCTATTGGTCCCCAAAGAACTCAGCCCTGGCCCTGCCTTCCTAGCTCATCGGGGCCAGGCCAGAGGGCTCCGGGAGCTCAGGCAGCCCCCTTCCATCTCCAACCAACCACACGGGGGGTGGCTCTTTCTTCCCCTGTGGCGACTTGGAGCGTGCACTCTGTGTCTCCAGCTTCTTCCCTTCTAAATGACGGTACCAGGAATGCGTGTCTCCGCGGCCGCTGGGAGGACCCAGTGACGGAATCTGTGTTAATGTGTTAATGCTGTGTTAATAAGGCAACAGACCAAGAGCTACCACTGTTACCAGTCTCTGGTTCCCAGCACACAACACAGAGCACATTCGTCAAATGACCCAACGTGGCCCAGTACCGAGGAAGCTGCCAGCCCAGGAGCCCGGACTGCTTTTGACCATCTGGTTTTTTTCCAGCAGATTCGCAAACAAGCAGTTTCAAACCGTTCTTGGGAGAAAGGAAGGGACACCTAGCCATGTGTCCCCACCCAGGCTGCAGCCTACACTCTCACCCACCTACACACTCTGTGGAAAAAGCCGTGGCGGGGGGCGCCTGGGTGGCTCAGGCGGTTAAGCATCTGCCTTTGACTCAGGTCATGATCTCAGGGGCCTGGGATCGAGCCCCGTGTCAGGCTCCCTGCTCAGTGGGGAGCCTGCTTCTCCCTCTCCCTCTGCCCCTCCCCCTGCTCACACTCCTTCTCCCTCTCAAATAAATAAATTATCATCTTAAAAAAAAAAGCCGTCAGGAACACGCTCTTACTCGCAGAGCTCAGGATGCCCGTATCTCCTGCATACCTGGCTGCCAAGCAGGAACAGCTGGTGACACCTCTGGGGCCCTTATGAATACCACCTGGTCCCTAGAGTCCTGGGTGCCAGGCCAGTGGTTGCTGGGTGGACCCAGCTGAGCTGAGACCTACTCCGGCCTCAAACCCCACTGGGGTTTCCCACCCACACCTGCGCCCATCACCAGCCCTGCTGCTGCCCAGGAATGGGCAGGGGGTGCGCAGGCTGGTTTACGGAGCACCCAGTGTGCAGAGCATCAGGTGAGCTCAAGCAGAAAAGCCCAGACCTCAGCCAAGACAGACCCCGGTTCCAGTCCCAGCTCTGCCACTGCTGTGTGACCAGGACCAGTCACCTGATTGAGCCTTGATCAGAGACAGCTCTCCTGCGTGGAAACGGCACAGCCTCCCAGAGCTAAGAGGATTAAGAGACACAGCTGTTGCCCACTTCCTGCCACGGAGCAGGGACTCCTAGGCTGGCTAAGGAGTCAACAAACCCAGAGTGGGAGATTAGGATCCACTAGAGTCACAAGTGCACCTAACCTTTGAATGCTAGGATGCATCCTGCATATACACCCCT